GACGCTACGATGCGAGAGTCGAGAAATATACATTTAATTAAATTAAATTCTCTCAGTGATGGTGTGTACAATGCATGGGAATAAAAACATTCGGGGCTTTACTGAAAACAGCCCCCATTAGCCCACCCCTATGCTGCGATAGTTCTTTAAATGGAGTTTTATCGCCCTCCTGTGGTGAACTGTGTGATTACACTGCTGATCATTTTACCCATAAACATTTAAAAGATTTGAGTCAGCGAAATAGATAAATCGACTCGGCAAGAATTCTGGTGTGTGTTCAAGTGAAATGAAAAAGTTCAAATGAATATTATTCTCTCCACGAGCCAAAGGTAACGTTAAGTTAGAGTATAATTTAATATTGAACCAAACATGTATGACGAGTCACGCAGGTCTGTGCTCCTCCGCAGCGGTAAGACCAGAACCAGTATAAAATAGTCCGAAATAATAAACACTATTATAGGTGTACCACAGTGATTCAGGATAAGACAAAGCACCATTTGGACAACTGATGCATGTACTCGCTCACTATATAACCTTTGAACATTTTGAACACAAAAAGTTAAGCACTAAAACTTTATAACAAGGCAACTTAGCCAGTCGCCCTCCTGTGGTGAATTGTGTGAATTACACTCCTGCAACTTACTCCTACAGCCGTGACTGCAGTCAGAGGAAAACTTTGAGTTACAATATTTTGTAATATTTAATAAATTGTTGGTTGCCATGTGACGCAGTAAAACATCTGGCAATTACCTTTCAAATTTTCTATAAATATATTTTACATCTGCGATCAGGGGCGGTTCTAGGGTGAGTGGACATCCGGGGCTTAGAGAAATCCATGTATGGGTCACGATACAAGGAATAAACTTTAAATAAAATTTTATATTTTTTTATTTATTGTTTTTTTGGGTTTTTTTAACAAGGTGGATCTTTCTTGCTAATTAAAATTAAAAATCACAATGTCACACATCCTCTTCTTTCCTGACATGGTAAAATAGCAAGCTCAGCTCTATTATTGTTTTAATAAATAGCATTCATTTAACAACATGATTTTTGTGAGAATATATAAAAAGAGGTGACTTAAGAATCTCTATAATAACAAAAAAAATCTTAAGCCATTCTCCAAGCACACGTTACATTTTACACATTACATTTTACTTTATACATAATACAAACAGAAAGGCTAAAGCCAAGTCCTATAATTAAAACACATGGGTCTACACTTATATTTTTGAAGGAGCACTTGTAGATGCATTTCACACAGCACTTACAATTTGCATAAATAATGGTGGAGACTGATGGATCAATATCAAATTTGGAATACAGAAATATGAATATTGAAAAAATGAAAATGGTACTTCGTTCGATCGATTCGTTCAAATCAGATGATTCATTTAGGAAAAAAGTAAGAAATGATTTTGAATGGCGGTCAGTGAATCGTTTACAAGCAAATTCAATTAATAAACACTGTGATGCTTTGTTTGAAACCATTTTCGTTAGCGAATATTTTCTTTACGTTTGGCCATGCTGACCAAACATATAACGCTCTTTAAAATGCGTGTGCGCGCGCGCCGCGCACGTGCACGTCCTATTGACTGTGCTGCACAAAGTGTTAAACGATCAAAATGTAGCATATCTGACAATCTAAAGAATGAAATCTAATACTATGATTAGAAGTTACCTGCTGAAGCTGTTGTATCAATTTTACTCATTCATTACTAACTTACACATCATCAACAAACACCTGGCTCCAAAATATTTAATTTCATTGGCTGGATCGTACAGACGCGTTGCTTCTCATCGATGGTTGGCCAGTTTACATGTCAGTCAGAAGCACTAGCCTGAATGGGCGGTTCTTGTCGGTTGTGAATGACAATGCGTATGTTGACGGACGCTACGATGCGAGAGTCGAGAAATATACATTTAATTAATTAAATTCTCTCAGTGATGGTGTGTAGCCTACAATGCATGGGAATAAAAAAACATTCGGGGCTTTACTGAAAACAGCCCCCATTAGCCCACCCCTATGCTGCGATATTCTTTAAAATGGAGTTTTATCGCCCTCCTGTGGTGAACTGTGTGAATTACACTGCTGTCATTTTACCCATAAACATTTAAAGATTTGAGTCAGCGAAATAGATAAATCGACTCTGCAAGAATTCTGGTGTGTGTTCAAGTGAAATGAAAAAAGTTCAAATGAATATTATTCTCTCCACGAGCCAAAGGTAACGTTAAGTTAGAGTATAATTTAATATTGAACCAAACATGTATGACGAGTCACGCAGGTCCTGTGCTCCTCCGCAGCGGTAAGACCAGAACCAGTATAAAATAGTCCGAATATAAACACTTATTATAGGTGTACCACAGTGATTCAGGATAAGACAAAGCACGATTTGGACAACTGATGCATGTACTCGCTCACTATATAACCTTTGAACATTTTGAACACAAAAAGTTAAGCACTAAAACTTTATAGCAAGACAACTTAGCCAGTCGCCCTCCTGTGGTGAATTGTGTGAATTACACTGCTGCAACTTATTTCTACAGCTGTGACTGCAGTCAGAGGAAAACTTTGAGTTACAATATTTTGCAATAAACTATTTGTTAAATATGAAATCAAATGAAATTAATTTAATGCACGGTTTTCTTCGGACCTTTAATTAACTTAGGGTTAGGGTTAGTTAGGATTATTCACTTAATGGGCTTTATGCCCAGCTGCACTACTTCCTGAACTTCAGCCAGCTCCTTGTTTCCTGTCTGCCATTATTGGACAAATTGATTAATTCAGGTGTGTCTGATTATTGTTGCCATGACTACCGAGGTCAAGCACACCTGAATTAATCAATTTGGCCAATAACGGCAGATTATTAATAACGTCATCGGACTTATAATTAACTTGTAGCTTGTTATTTCCTTAGTTAACCACAGGAGGGCGTTATTTGACTTGCTTTATTAAAATTATAATATTTATTTATTTATTTCTACACAGTATTAGATTAAACACAACAGTACACAGTATAACACAATCCATTGACTTGTTTCATAAGTTTATACATCTAACAAAATATTTCCTCTTAAGAAGACAAGTTTGTCACATGTTTTGTTGCCACACACACTATATATGTTTAAACATGTATCAAATAATTGTAATAATTAACAAGTCAAGGACTAGTCATATTTTATGTTTGTATTTTAAATTGCATGGAACTGAGAAGCATAAAAAACCCAAGAGAAATATTTTAATGCAAGCAAAAAAAAAAAAAAAAAAGAAAAAAGAAAAAAAAAGAAAAGAAAATTGCACATCACACATCAGCTTTAAAATAAAAGAAAATAAATCTGGTAATCTGTTTGTTAGTAATATGCACTTAATATGTGTTTTTAAAACATGATTAAGTAGATTAAGGCCTACCCCTGTCTTAATATAAACCCTGTCTGGGAAACCACCCCTAAAGGTTTAACAAAGTTATTCTTGCCACTATAACTTACAGCTAACAACAAATCAACTTAGGAAGATTCATTTATCGTATTACAGATTTATTACATGCATGTTCATTTTATAAAAGCAAAACTAAACCATTACATTGCTTATACAGAATTAGATATTTTATGACAATAACAATAACATTAACAATCATGACTATATGCAAACAAGAGTCCACTATCAGAGAATAGATGTAGGCTACAAAATAACCCGCCAGAGATGTTATATTATTTTTGTACATGTTAGTTCATCTGTTCTCTGATAGTGGACTCTTTTGTTCGCATATATAGTCATGATTGTTTCATAAAAAGCATCTGTATAAGCAAGACTGGACAGTTGGATAAGAATAATATTAGACTATTTCTCACTGCACATGAACATGACTGAAATCAAATATTTTCATTTTCCCGCAAGTTTTCTCGGATATCCCTGGTAAGACCAGGGCTTTTGACACAATTTTTTTAAAATATAATAATAAAATTAAAATATATATATATTTTTACTGGCCATGCAGGTTTGCCGAAAACAGGCAGATACGACACCAACATTTTAGAGATACCAGAGAAAATTCACAATTGTATCTTCCAATTTTGATACCCATAGCTAAAACTTCTACCATAACTTAACTAATATACATAAACATTAAAATTCAAGTAAATAGTCAGTAATAAAATAACAAATAATCAAATTACAATCAAAAACACAAATAAATACAATGTAACAGATACAAATGAAACAAACTGTGCTTTTCAGGTTGGTGTGACAGTAGTTTTCCATTCACAGAAATTTAATAAAGCAAGCAGATTAATCAATTTGACATCACTATGCAAAATATAGGCTAATTTAATATTTATTCAACGTTTTATTCATTTTATTTTTGGGGGGGTAAATAAAATAACATGAATATGAGATTCACATTTACATGTGTCCATGCGATAAACAATTATTATTTGTAATATAATTTCACGTAATAATTTCAAATAATTTGTACGTTCAACAATTTTATTCACAAACAATGATAAGGCTTCTGCCACAAGAGGGCGCGACATCTACATTAATGTTGTTTACAACAAAGTAAACATAACTGACAGTACACAGATTTACTCTGATAAAGACACAAACATTTCCCTGCCAAACCCCGCCTAGTGTTTATCAATTATTAAAGTCTTGGAAACGTTTGCTTAGAAAATGAGGAGGAAGTCGGTGTTCGTCATAGCGAGCGCGCGCTCCCGTAGAACCTGATGATCCAGTTCACGCGCACAGACTCATTTAAAGCACATTCACTCTCAGCGTACAGAAACACAACTGGAATGGCACTCGGTTTATTCGTTTAACTTGCTCTGGTCAGATGTTTCATGATGTTTTGGTAAGTTAGTTTTCCCTCTCTAAATGTCTTTTACTCATCTTAGACTCGTGTGTAGATCTTATTCAAAACGGACACAGGACATTATTTCACCGCAAAGAAATGTATTTGAATATGATTTCATCATTATTATTTACATGACATTGAAGTCAATTTGAAAACTCCGTATCTCACTGTAGTATTTATTTGTACCGACTAGTTTAACGATAAACACAAGTCGTTTTAATTAAGTTAAAGTCATAATGCAAAAAAAGACATCGTCCTAAAAAAGATACATTTATGCAACAATTGCTTTTTTATTTTTATTTTAATATTATAGAATAGTTACACCTTTGTTTCTCTTTCTAGATAACCAATTAAAAATAAATAAATAAATAGATTAAATAATTCTAAGAACGTTTTGCTAACATTCCAAATAAATTATGAAAACGCTATTTCTGAATGTTCCCTGAACAGCGTCCAGTTGTTTAAAACGTTTAATAGAACTTAAAATGATCACTTTACAAACTTTATTGGAACATTTTACATTTTAAACAAGTTCTACCGACCAGACTCTTAACAAACCCTCTGTTTATGTTACTGGAAAAACGTTTGTTCATAACTTTGAGAGAACCTTGCCAGAATGTTCTGTTACCATGTTTATTTGTTTGCGTCACTATCTTGTATATTGTAAAGGTTCTATATTTCTATATTTTATTTTCAGGTTCTATAATTCTCTAGCATTTATGACACTATAAAAGCTGTGTGGTGTTGATAAGTGCTGTAGTCAGACCTCAGGAGATCTGTGTGAGCAAAAACAATATTCCTCAGTGATCTGAGAACAGCAGTTGATTCTGACTGTGTGTGTGTGTTCCAGGTGCATCATGTGAAACAAGTCAATCGGGTACGTGGGAATGTTTGGACCATTTCACACGACCCCTGACCTTTTCCACTCTACCTTTTGTTCACAAGACGCCGTGGCCTGGATGCCGTAATGGATGTTCACATGCACAACAGTCGGACGCCTCACTACGGCCGGAACGATGGTCCAAATGGCTTCTCTGTGAGTATTAAAACACAACACTTAACCTGAATCGTTTAAGCCGATAATAATGACTACAGATAAGCCTGACCACACCTTATTTATGATTAAAATAGATTTATGAAACACTTTTTTGGTCAGTAAAAGGAAATGAACCCACGCGTTTACACACAAACTGATTGATGCAGGGAAACCAGTTCCTTCAGTTCAAAGCATGACAGGAAAGTCATTGTGTTTCGGTCCTCAGACAGGTGTGGTGTGTGTGTGTGTGTGATAATCACTGCATTCGTATAAAGCGCTGAACTCTCTCAGAGGAATGTGCTTCTGTAGTAAAGACAAGAATGTAGTCGAGCAGCATGTGAAACATTAACATGACATGATCTATACAAAACCAGCAGGTTCTGGATTAATTGTTTAAAGATCGCAATCTCGATTCAAACGCATGAATCATTCCTAAATCACAGTGATTCGGCTCTAAGTACGATCACACTGATTCAGATCTGTGTTCTGGTCCAGTGAGTCGTCATGTTCAGTGTGAAACAGTCTTTTCAACCACAGTATCATTATTTCTGTTATAATAATTATAAATATCACAGAAATACTGCCATACAAGTTTATTGTTGGAATATAAACACTGATGTCTACAGTAGTGATCAAAATAGAGCGAATCACCTTATGAAAGTACATGACGCTTCAAGTAAAGATTGTATCCATTACTTTGTTACACCAGTAGACAAGAGACTGTTTGTCATTGAATCGTTTAAAAATGTCCATTTATCCAGTAATGAAACAAGTGAAGTCTCTGAGCGAGTCATTGAATCATTCAAAAGATTCAATCAAAACGCTGATTCATCCAGTAATGAAACAAGTGAAGTCTCTGAGCGAGTCATTGAATCATTCAAAAGATTCAATCAAAACGCTGATTCATCCAGTAATGAAACAAGTGAAGCCTTTATGAGTGAGTCATTGAATCATTCAAAAACGCTGATTCATCCAGTAATGAAACAAGTGAAGCCTTTATGAGTGAGTCATTGAATCATTCAAAAGATTCAATCAAAAATGCTGATTCATCCAGTAATGAAACAAGTGAAGCCTTTATGAGTGAGTCATTGAATCATTCAAAAGATTCAATCAAAAACGCTGATTCATCCAGTAATGAAACACGTGAAGCCTTTATGAGTGAGTTATTGAATCATTCAAAAGATTCAATCAAAAATGCTGTTTCATCCAGTAATGAAACAAGTGAAGCCTTTGAGAGTGAGTCATTCTTTCAAAGCGAATCAATATTTGAATTGAATTTGTCACTTCTAGTAAATTACACGTTATTGTTCAGTTGTCAATTCAGATCCTTGGGATAATCATGATCTCGATTAAACAAAAAGCATGATTGTCAGATTATCCAGAGTCGTTCAGCTCTACTATTATTACAGACTCAAAGTATGTGTCCATTTGACATGAATGATTCCTCAAATCGTGTGTTTTAAGAAGAGATGCACTGTTACGAAATTATTAAAATTAAGTCTGTATTTTCATTCAGTTTAAATTGATGTGATAAAATACAATTAATAACTTTATAGACACATTTAAAAAATATAAAATAATTGAAATGACAAAACAAAATGACAAAACTTTTAAATTAAAATGAACTAAGCAAGTGTAAAGTATCACAGTTTCCACACATATAAAGCGGCACAACTGTTTAACACTGATAATAATCACAAATGAATCTTGAGCATCGTATTTCTGAAGGGTCATGTGACACTGAAGACTGGAGTAATGATGATAAATTCAGCTTTGATCACAGGAATAAATTACACTTTACTGGATATTCACATAGAAAACAGCAAATAAAATTATTTCACTCTTTCTAAAAATAAAACAAATAAACTTTTTCCCAAAACATTAAAAATCTAACCAACCCCCAAAATAATGCATTTTCTTTACTATAATAAAAGTATGAGCAGAATGCTGTTTTATTTTAAAATGACCTCAGATTTTAATTCAGAAGATCTCACTATGCTGTATTTATATGCCACAATCAGTTCTTTCTTCTCTCTTTCACACAATCATTTCCTCATGACATCATTGTGCTGTTTGTAATTTGATCCAAACCTGTGCGTTTGATAAAGGAGTGACACACACACACACACACACACACACAAACCATCAGCTGTTCTCTACAAACAGAGAGGAAAAGCCGGTCCTGCTTCTGTTGCTTTCTGAAAACTGAATGGCACAGACCAAAGACAGCCCACAAAAGTGATGCAATATGTGTGTGTGTGTGTGTGTGTGAGCTGCCTGGACATCACTTACAGTGGGGCTGTTCAGGGTGAAGGGTGTGTACACCAGTGGTGAACAAGCAGCCCACTGTTCACACACACACACACACACACACCTGTGAGAGGAGCTGCTGTACATGAGTAGGGTCTGTGTTGGGCTGTTTGAGCAGGGAGAGGCTCCTCAGTAAATCCTCACACTGATCGCTCTCTGGAGGTCACAAAGCTCATGCGTCCCACTTTAGACATTCGACTATATTAGGAACTACTAGGGGTGTAACAATACCCGATACGATATTACTGCGATACTGCAAAAAATTAACTGTTGATTAAAATGCTAAATTTGATATTACATTATGGGTGTGAATGAATAGAATTGGACTTGGTGCTGAAACCCAATGAACAATAGAGACGCCAGAATAACAATATTCATGATAATTATTTTAGACGAATGCTTGCACTCTTTCACTGCATGCATTTATTTACAATAATGTATAGGCCACTTTTACCGCAACAACACATGTGGCATTATCAGGACACACTAATATGCATTATTATACATTATATACAGTAGTTTAATGGAGTACTGACACTAAAACTTTAATTTTTTCCCCCTCACACTGTATTTTTTATGTTGGGTGAACTATTCATGACACATATTGCCTTTTTGTATTGAGACATGCATGATATACTATGTGCCAACTAGCAGTCATTCAATGTTTTCTTTAACTTTCTCTCTCTCTCTAGGAAGATGATCTGCAGTTCCTCAGTCTCGAGGAAAGGGAGTGTATTCTGTTCTTTGAGGAGACCATCGGCTCCCTGGAGGAGGACGATGAGAGGACGGGACTCACGGTGGGGCGTCCGGCCTCACACACACAAACGGCACGACATCACAGCCCTGTAGATCATGACATCATTGACCTGGTCCACCCTACACCCGATGCCAACAAACATAAAGACACGCTGCCCTTCACGCCAGGTACCCGAAAACAACCTCTAATGAAACCGCAACTCCATGTAAAAACATTCAAATTCTGATCTTAATCAATGATTGTAACCCTGCTTCAATATGAGTTATGTTTAATTTAAAATTATCTACTGCAAATAAATAACTTAAAGGAGTAGTTCACTTTAAAAAAAACTTTTGCTGATAATTTACTCGTCCCCATGTCATCCAAGATGTCCATGTCTTTCTTTCTTCAGTCGAAAAAAAATTAAGGTTTTTGATGAAAACATTCCAGGATTTTCTCCATATAATGGACTTCAATGGGAACCAAACGGTTCAAGGTCCAAATGAGAGTTTCAGTGCAAACTGTTCATAGGGCTTTAACCGATTCCAGACGATGAATAAGGGTCTTATCTAGGACCCTTCGAGTCATGACTCGAAAAAAGATTTGTTCATTTTGATGAACGAGTTTGAACAAGAGAGTCACGAACGCACATCACAGAACAGAGCAAGGCGAGCATTTGAGCTTATAAAACTTAAAGGGATACTCCACTTTTTTTGGAAATAGGCTCATTTTACCACTCCCCCAGAGTAAAACAGTTGAGTTTTACCGTTTTCGAATGTATTCAGACGATTTTCTGATATTTAGAAGAATATCAGTAAACAGACAGTTTCTCGTCTCATTGACTATACTATGGAAAACCCAACTGTTTAACTCTGGGGGAGTTGTAAAATGAGCCTGTTTCCAAAAAAAGTGGAGTATCCCTTTAAACCTTTTTATTAATTTTTTAAATGAGCGATCGTTTCGCTAGACAAGACCCTTATTCATCGTCTGGTGTCGTTTAAAGCTGCACTGAAACTGTCATTTGGACCTTGAACCGTTTGGACCCCATTGAAGTCCATTATATGGAGAAAATCCTGGAATGTTTTCATTAAAAACCTTCATTTCTTTTCGACTGAAGAAAGAATGACATGGACATCTTGGATGACATGGGGGCGAGTAAATTATTAGTAAAAGTTTTTTTAAAAGTGAACTACTCCTTTAAAGATAAGAAATTCTTCGCTTATGAGGATAAGTCGGATCATTGGCAGAGGTAATTGTACACCATTGAGGACATATTTATGAATAAAGACACTGATTTTAACCTTTCTAACCAAACCAAGTGATTTGAAGTTTTAAGGATTGCGAGGATTGGTTCTTTTGAATTAAATGTTGTTGTCAGAATAAAACTATTTGTTCTTGTACTATAGTAGTCAACATTTGAAGTGGATCAAAACCTTTCATCAAAGTTACACATGGATTTTGAACAATACATGTTCTTGTCTTAGGACAACTTTGATAAACGTTTTTGATCCACTTTACTGTATTTGAGATTCATTAAGCAGTTGTGAATGTGTTTTCTTCATCAGATTTCCAAGCGGCTCCAGATACTCATTACGAGGTAAAGGCGAAACGAGACCCACCACAAGAAGTTGGACACCATCCGCCTTCAGCTTCATCAATAATCGGCAACAAGATTGTCGAGCATGAGAGCATCGCGTCCTCTTCACCGCTTCTCCAGCGCAGAAGCAGTCTGGATTTGCCACAAAACCCCTTGGTCAAACACGGCCCTCCTCTTCACGCCAAGCCCACGCGTCTCCCTGGCGGCATTAGCATGTTACTGGGCAGCCGCGAACACATTCCCCATTCAATCGCCACCGAAGCCGTGACGGTGCAGGAGCGCCGGGCGCTAATGCTCTCAAACCTCTCCGGTTCAGCGCACCCTCTGGACGGCGGAGAGCCAGTCTGCGTTCGCAAGCTTCCAACGCGAAGCATATCGTTTCGAGATCCCACACCGGACATATCTAGGATGGAGGCGCTTTCGAAACTCGGACTTGCTCAGAAGCGATCACAACCCATCATGCACACTTCTCCGAGGGAGACCGAAGACATTAAAACCACCACCACATTCAAAACTAGCTTACCAGCTAACGCTAGTGCTGATGTCCGCGCTACGGACACTACAGACCACTGCCAAACCAAGCGATCGCAATCCATCACACATGCTTCTCCGAGGGAGACAGAAAGTGTGAAAGCCGTTAGCATCCCAGCAAACACTCGTCAGACCGAAAGCACCAAAACCACCACCACATTCAAAACTAGCTTACCAGCTAACGCTAGTGCTGATGTCCGCGCTACGGACACTACAGACCACTGCCAAACCAAGCGATCGCAATCCATCACACATGCTTCTCCGAGGGAGACAGAAAGTGTGAAAGCCGTTAGCATCCCAGCAAACACTCGTCAGACCGAAAGCACCAAAACCAACACCACATTCAAAACTAGCTTACCAGCAAACGCTAATCCTGTCGCCCGCGCTATGGACACCACAGATCACTGCCAAACCAAATCAAGCCCTGCACCAATTTTGACGAGCGCAGAAGTCTCGCATAGTGATTTTAACTGCTATGGCGGGAAGAGCATAAAGTTGAACTCCTCAATGTCCTTTAGGACTGAGCACGCCTCAAGTGCGTTACCCAAAACAGAGGCTTCGGAGGTCCATCTCAACAACTACGGCGGCAGATCAAGAATCACAAGTACACCTGAGCCAATCCACGGAGCCCGATCCAGAACCTCCTTCCCTGAACCTTGTTCCAACAGGACTGTGAAGGAAGACTTACCCAAGAGGAATGCGTCGCTCTGTGAAAACAGATCCAATGCTAATCCGCCCATCGCGGCTCCGAGACCCCCGCGTCAATCGAGCCCACTGAGTCCCACCGGGTCACGGCCCTTGCCAAAGCCATCCTTCCGTGCTCAGGGAATAACGGTCCAGTTTTCTGGGAGAGGAGCCACAGATGAGGCCAGACGTAACGCGCTACGCAAACTAGGACTGCTGAGAGACTCGTCTTAAACGCTCACATGACGCCTTTTGACTCGAATAGAAAAACATTTGCGGAGTTATAATTCAACCATTGCTGGGTAGATTACTTGCAATACTTAGTCTGTTGCTGAATGCATTGTACATGACTAAATTGTAGTTGGTAACGTAAGCTATTTCTAAACACTTAGATTTGAATATTTGAAGATAATACCATATTATACCAAATTTTGTTAAACCCATTACCTGATGTTAGGGTTTCCCAAACCAGGGTTTGTGAAGGAATTTCAGGGAGTATCTAAGTTCATGAAGAATCAATAGTTCAATAAAAAAAGTTAAAGAAATTTAAAACAAACTAAAACACTTAATAATGATGCAATGCTTTCTTTACTTGCATTATACGACATCAGAGAAACATGAACATGCTAATGTTAAATTATTGACTTGTGAGTCAATTAAATTACATGTAATCAATTAAATTACATGTAATCAGTTACTACCCAGCACTGACTTCAACTAATCGTTTATATGTATATATATATATATATATATATATTTACAAAAACAAACAGTGTTGGCATTACCTTGTTTGAAGATGTTCAGAAGGGTTAGGGATGTTTAACAGATTTATGTTCTAAGTCAACTAGCACTTGTTTAGACTGAGCTTGACAGACCTGATATCTTTATCAAACACTAACTCAGGATTCACATTCATCTCAAGCTCCACATGCTGCTTTGGAAGCGCATGGCCTGGTTTCGGCCATCTTTACTTCATCGTCACATGGTTCCAGAACATTGAGTCCTAATTGTCATGTGATTAAACACTCCATATTTGAACTCCTAAAACACTGTTAAGATTCCTCCATAAAGATAAATGTACGAAGAGAACCGCCAGAACTGTGTCGTCTTCAGTGGCTCAGTGGTAGCGGTACCGGCTCTGAAGCGAGTGGTTGCTGGTTCTATTTCAACTTGTTGTTGCGCTTAGACTCCGCTACCACTGAGCCGCTGAAGACGACACGGTTCTGACGGTTGAAAGTCAGCGTGCCGAGTCGGTTTCAGATGCGTGTCGTCTTCCAAAAAAAAATAAAAATTAGTGTGTGTGTGTGGTCCCGCCCCCGAGGTTTTGGACCGGCCCGCGCTGCGGTTATGCTGCATTAACATTAATTTTCGCAACGTTTAATAATATAATAAGCAAATAATATAATAAGCAACTTTTTTCAAACCTTAGCAAACTTTCACTTTTCAATTTCCATTTCATTTTGAAACTAATTGATTAATTGGATAATTACTTAATTGATTAATTTGTTAATTAATTAGTTTCATTTTTTTCATTTTTAACTACGTTTTTTTTCTAAGTCTCTTTTTTTAACTAAGTTTAATTTTTTAATTTTTTTAACTAAGTTTCTTTTTAACTAAGTTTAATTTTTTTAACTAAGTTTCTTTTTTTTAACTAAGTTTCAATTGATTAATTGGATAATTAGTTAGTCACTTTTATTTGCTTTTTTTAACTTTCATTTTTTACATTCGCATTCACTTTTTTTTAACTAAGTTTCTTTTTTTAACTAAGTTTCAATTGATTAATTGGATAATTAGTTAGTCACTTTTATTTGCTTTTTTTAACTTTCATTTTTTACATTCGCATTCACTTTTTTTTAACTAAGTTTCATTTTTCTAACCTAGTTTCATTTCTTTTTTTTAGCTAAGTCAGTTTAATTTTCAAGTTAGGTAAGATACTTGCTCTAGTTAAGTTAGATTCATTTGTTTATGAGCAATTTAGTAATTGCTAAAATTCCTAAAGTAAACTTATTTAAACACTCAGTGTGTGATTGTAAAATATGTCAGCTTATCTTTTTAAGTGTCTGTGCTTGAGGATCAACTGATGGAAATAACCCAAGAAATACCTCAGTTTCTTAAAGCGTGTCTTTATGATGTTCGGCATGTTCATATGATAATGTTGTGTTTTTATATTCTCTTGATTTTGACTGGTTGGTTTTCTAGATGACCGTCTTCTTTCTCTCCCAGCATGCAACACTTCAGAAGCTCTCGTAAATGTGAGTTTAGTTCCTCCCACACTGAACCACAGAGATTCAAATGGAGAGCTTGCAGATCTGGAACGTGTTCAAATCACCACCAACCCTTAATCACGTTGTGTTTTGACCTGTAGTGTGTATTGTGAGTTTCACAATGAATGAGTTAATGTGTTATGCATGTAGAATGTGTGTTTTTGAGATGTGTGCATTGTTTTGTTTTTTTGACTCCGGTTTTTTGCTTCAAGAGAAGCAGTTATTGAAGGACATGGAATGCATGATTGTGAACATGTGACACCACTACACACACACAAAACAACATTGTTTATTACCACCTCTTCATATAAATGACAACATTGCTGGACATAAAAATGTATATTTTCCTGCATTGGTTATAGAATTGTTTCTGAATAAATACAATGAAACCATCAGTTATAATGTTTTTTGTGTCAATGATAATGTTCTTTGGCAGCTCTTTAGTGAAGCACTGCATTATGGGGTGTGCGCCAAGCTCAATAATTCACTCAGACACCTTTGACAAGAGACATTTAATCAGTTAAGTTGATGAAAAGACTAGCAAAAGTCTTTTTACACCACAAATTCAAAGCACAATTGAGAACAACTGAATCAGAAACGGCAGAACGGTGAAAACATCAGAATAAAACAAACATTTTGGCATTGAGAAATTATTTAACCCTCTAAATGTTGTCCTAAAACATTTAAATATGAAAGTACATTGAAACGATTCTTATTCTGAGGTTAATCATGTGGATGTGTGATTTTATGCCAATCTTACATGTTCTTGTCGCTGTTTTCCTGGTGAATTAAATTACGACGTGAGCAGTTTTGGCGCTTAAACCCAACCCAAACAATCATCCAGGCCTTTTCTGTGGGTTTGATCTTACCTGTTCCGGTCCGCGCGTGTGTGTGTTTGCGTCCGGTTCGACAGCATTCGACTGATCAGCTGCTCTAGTCATTGAGTTCACTGACTGGTGAGTGTTTGAGAGCACAGAGACAAAAAGAGACATTCTCACGGTCACACGAAGTCACTTTTACTGCAACAGCGAACATGTTAGCGGCTGCGTTCAGCCCATGCACGTCTCGCTCAGGAACCTTCGCTGAGGTTAGAGAGAATAAACATCAGGAGAGGAAACAACGCAAAAACATTGAGTTTTCCACCGTCTCTTCGGCACTGGACACTATCCAACCATCAAACTCGTTCAGCCAAAGTAAGATCACCTCCATCCTGTGTGTGTGTGTGTGTGTGTGGGTTGATGGAGCTCCTCTCTGGTTGCTGTGGTGACCCTCAGTCAGGTGTGTCTCCGTCTCGAGTCCAAAGCACCGCTTGTCCATCTCTCTGTCCGTCTTTGACTCGTCGTTACCTCAGTCTGACATCATCAGCGTCTCCTGCGGTGCACAGGGTCAAGGGTCAGTGAGTGTGTTAAGGGTCAGTGAGGAGGATGTGTGTGAGAGAGAGATTAAAAAGCTTGTTTGTATGGCTATTATTATTTATTTTCAAAATAATAATATATAACAATATAAAATAATATAAAAATATCAAGTATAAAACAAAAGCATATAATAAATATAATAATCAAAATAATTTTAGTTGTAGTATAATATAATATAATATAATAATATAGTAAAGTATAATAAATGAAATATAAATATAAATAAATACTGTATGTTTCAAAAAAATAATGATTAGATTTTAATAAAAAAATATTTACATTTTATCTAATACCCACACTGGTGTAGATTACTAAATAACAATATGAAACAAATAAAGAAATATTACTACTGTAATATAATATGTAACACTATAAGATTATGCAATCATAACAATTTAAAATATAATCAATACTAATCAAAAATGTAAAACAATATAAGGAATATTACTCCTGTGATAAAATCACATGAATTGCACTAAGGCGCATCACCACTTCAGTTTTATTCTGATTAATCGCTAGTGCAACCGAAATATTTTACCAGTCAAATGGATTTTAGAAAGTTGTGTGAAAGTTTTCAGATGAATGTCCTCTTCTACTTGATCAGTGTGTGTGTGTCTGACCTGCCGCCGGTCTTGAATATGAGGTCAGCGTTGGGCGCTCCTTTAGGGTGCTGGTAGCGGGGCCGGCGCTCTCGGTTGGTGTTCGCAGGAGCCGGTCTCTGAGCAAGGGATTGCATCATCTCTGAAACAACAACAACATCATCATCATGATGGATCAGAATGAATCACAACTTTGTGTGTTTATTGTTGAATCTGAATCTGAATGTAGTGTTTACATGAACGCTAAACAAGTGATCGGGTTTATATGTCACAAGCTTCAAATCGGGATACATTTTTTGCATAAATATAGGCCACAGTTTCCTGATGTTTGCGTATGATAATTATTCTCCTATATACATTTCGAGCTGTTTCAATATAAAAGTTTTCTTTACTGACTCACTCATAAAGATGTCTAAATAATTTAATAGTTTTAAACACACTAGTTCTTTTAAAATGTACTTCATTTGGAAGTCATTTTCACAGTTAATTACAGTAATCCAGCTGCTTTTCACACCAGGTTTAACCCTTGTGCATCCTTATGGACATGTTTGTCCTTTTCAGTTTTGTTTTTCAGTTCAGTTTTGTTGATCACTTTGCCTGTGTTAAAGCTAACTGCAAAAAACTTGGCACAGGTGTGTGTTTTTATTGGAATTTTACTATTTCACCGTCATTTTCTTAAAAATATATTTTTTGCATTAGGTACAAAAAATACTCCCTCTCAGCACCTTTTGGACAAAAATGTCCCCATTGAAACTGCCATTTTTAATCCCCGGTTCAGTTAACTATAAAATTATGCAATCTTTGTTAAGAGGCTTTCATTCTGAGGGCAAGGCTTCAAAATTGTATTTTTTACTATTTTTTATCAGATGGTGCCATTTTTTTAAAGTTTGGCCTATAAAACAAATATCGCTTTATTCCTGTTTTCTGGTTCGGCATATTATAGAGCCAACTGGATAAAGTGTGGGTGTGTTGGTATGGATGTCAGAGTGTGGTTAGTATGTGTGTGTGTGTGTGTGTGTGTGTGTTTGTAATACTGAGAGAGAAAAACTGCAAATTCAAATCCAATCACTGTGAGCTCCAGTGGGGTTTTGCTGCCACCCAATGGGGAAAATATGTTACTACGCCCAAACAAACTGTTACCCAAAGCTCATTTCTTGAGATATCATCCTCAAATTTGGAACACAACCTATTTAGATTTATGGCTTTGATTTTATTGCAGTTTTGAGTTCAACCTGATTTAAAAAATATATATTTTATATGAAATATTTTTTATAAATAATTTTAATAAACTTATACCTATATAACATTTTTGGGATTTACTTATTATTATTTTTTTACTTCAGCAATAATCTGCAAAGGGTCTTCTTTAAAATGATACCAAACTTAAGTCTGTGCTCCAAAGCGTCACATTTTTATGACAGTTTTTTGACATGGACATTTTTGTCCTCTTTTTACCTATGTGTAACTTTTTTAATTGATGCACAAGGGTAAACTAAATCTAAGACTAAAACCATAAAATAACATTCCTTAAACATTAATAGCAAAAATATTTAAGTAACTTCTGTTGCTGTTTACGGCTTTTGCAAGTTGCACAGATTTAATATTTGTACTGTGGTGTGGTACCCGTTTTCTTAAAGCAATAAGGTACTCGACGCTAGAGCTGTATCGTGAATAAGTGGCGGCTGAAGGGCGTTGTTAGGCAATGCGAAGCGGAGCCTCTCGTACCTTATTGCTTACATAACCGTGCCTCAGGGACTATTTTTTCCAGCGGAAGGAACGCTTTTGGTAAGTTTACTTTACTTCAAGCAAGTTGCATCTGTCTCTAATATTTGTATTGTATCTCACCCTGATAGTCCTCCTGCTCCTGTCTCTCGTTGATGTCCAGCGTGAGCTTCTTCATGCGCATGCGCTCCTCCTGCTCCGCTTGCTGCTGGTTAAAGTGATTGGCTGCCAGATGAGACGACAGCGGCACGTTCAGGATCTTAAACTGGACAGACGGAGACACACTCATTACTCTCGTTAACTCACATGTTCAGCTTACGTGTGAACAAGGTCTTTCAAATACAATTAAAATGACAAAAATCACATTTACTCTTAAAAAAAGTTACATTTTATGCTACTTTCTTAGTTCCGAGTTCTTAATTCTATTTTGCACTAGTTCACTTAAAATCTACTTAATTTGTAAGGAGTAGAAAGACTGAAATACAGTATTTGTTGTTAACACACTCCAGTGCATACAGCTGTGGTTAAAACACACACACACACACACACACACACACACACACACACTCTGAACCAGAGAAAGAGAAAACAGGCACAGAATATCAAAGATGGATGTACCCCAGAAGTAACCCAAACCTGAAAAAAATCTCCAAAAACCTCGTCCTCATTTGTAAATCTGGTATAAAAATGAAGTAATTAAAGGTTTTTTTTAAGTTTTATGTGATGGGTAGGTTTAGTGTAAGAGGAAAGAAATTTGTACAGTATAAAAACCATTACGTCTATGTGCTGTAGTTTACACACCCAAAGCCACATCCTGAACACACCCTGCAGACCCAAACCATTCCCACACACACACACACACACACACACACACACACTCTGAACCAGAGAAAGAGAAAACAGGCACAGAATATCAAAGATGGATGTACCCCAGAAGTAACCCAAACCTGAAAAAAATCTCCAAAAACCTCGTCCTCATTTGTAAATCTGGTATAAAAATGAAGTAATTAAAGGTTTTTTTTAAGTTTTATGTGATGGGTAGGTTTAGTGTAAGAGGAAAGAAATTTGTACAGTATAAAAACCATTACGTCTATGTGCTGTAGTTTACACACCCAAAGCCACATCCTGAACACACCCTGCAGACCCAAACCATTCCAACACACACACACACACACACACACACACACTGGTACCTGCTGCTTGTTGCCCTTGCGTGTGAGCATGACGAACTGCATGGTGTCGCTGATGTCGGAGTCTGTGTCTGCAGTGCATGATGGGACGGGGCTTTTCTTCAGCTGACTCTTCAACTGCAGAGGAATCGCCACATCCAACTGGTGGACCTTCACTGCCTCTCCACTGCGCTGCTGCTCACACACACACACACACACACACACGCGGTCACTCAAAGGCTTATGTACATGCACATAAATCGGACGGGTGAAGATGACATCATACAGGTGACTTTGGGCTGAACAGATCCTTTCATCAAGAAACTTACAAATGAAGTTATTGAAGCAGAAGTGATTCATTCGTTCTAAAAATGACTAATATATAATGATCTTTTTTGTAGATGTAGCTGCTTTCACACCAGGTGTGACTAAATCTAAGAGTAAAACCATAAAAAACATTACTTAAACGTTAACTTCACTTAAAACTTGAATTTATTTTACTTAAGTATTTTTTTATTTCTTAATTTCTAATTTTGTTAAATATTTTGGCATATTAAGAAAACATAACTAATAAAAATGCCTAACAAAATTACAATGATTTTTTTTAATGAAAACTTTTTTTTTTAAAAAACTAGGCAACACTACAATACGCTTCCATTTGTTGACATGAACTAACAACGAACAGATGTATTTTTATTAACTAACATTAACAAAGATTAATAAACACTGTAACAAATGACTCATTCTTAATTAATTTTATGTCTGTTTATGTAAAATATTATGTCTGTATTTCTCTATTCGTGCTTAATTTCTTAATGTGGCTTAACAAAGTGGCTTTTGGATATGAGAAAGTGCATCATCATTATTATTATTATTATTATGCAAGTTAATGCACTAACAAATTTTAACTAATGGGACCTGACTGTAAAGTGTTACAAAAAACTCTAATAGCATCTCAATGATATTAAAATAATATATAAAGCCCCCAAAATGACAAAAACAAACCATAAAAGTATATGAAAATAAACAGTAGGACTTAAAAGCCGTGTAATAATAGCACACGAGTGCAATCCACTAATTGTATGGTGTTGTTTTAAAAAATAAAGCACTTTCAGCTAGATCATCCAGATGTGGAATAATAAAACACAAATCTCCTGATTGTGAGGGTTTAGGAGAGTAAAGTGCATGTGAAGGATGTGAAAGTGTTTAGGGGCTTTCGCACGTGTTTGTTCGCACCGCAGGAACTCTTTCAGAGAAACTAATTTACTTCTACTTCTGAGTCGCTCTAAACCAGAACTATAGGAGCTATCCGTGACGTTAGTGTTCGCTGATTGGCCGAACGCACGCGAAACACCAGCATCCGCCATTTAAAAAGATTACAGTCTATACATTTACTCCAGAAACTAACTCTACGAACACGGAAACAGGGATAGATGAAGCTCTAAACCTTTACGCTGAGGAGAAAATCAAGAGAAACATGATGATGTGTTTCCGCTCAGCGACACTAGATATAAACCACACGGCAAACGCTAATAACTGTTCATCACTGTCTGCTTTCAATATATAACAGTTTTATCTAACTGTGCACTGTGTGTTCTGTCGTTCTCAGCGCCGTCAAAATAAAAGTCACAACGACAAGCGCGTCTCACGTCACTTCAGAGTTCCCACAGGCGTTGCGAACGCAACCAGGAAACGTTCCTAAGGAAGCGTCAGTTCTCGAGGAAACACCCTGGTGGCTCGATCCTTGAGCTAACGCCCCTATTGCGCACCTGCAGGTTCTCCAGCATCATTTTGTCCAGCGCCTGTATGAAGTCCTCGTCCTCGGCACACGCCACGTGTTTGAGTCCTCCACCGCGGATCGTGACCTCCTGACCCAGAGAAACAGCAGCGTTAGCTCAAACCACACCTACACACTTACACACTCACACACACACACACACACACACACACACACACTCACATTGTTCTCTTCATCCGTTTCGTTCTCTTTGTTGGAGTCGGTCAGATAGTCCGTGTTCTCCTCTTCCTCCTCACGCTCCTCTTCCTCATTCTCCGAGCCGTCCTACACAACACACACACGGCTTATCCCACTCTTCAAACACTCAGTGTATACATCAACAAAACCTCATCATAAATTAAATACAGTCAAACTGTAACCTATTCAGACACCTTCAACATTTCTCACATCATCGGTTTATTCGCTATAGTTCATGACCTCAGTGTTTGATATTTGACTGGTTTTGTCCGTCCAACATGAATTATGTTGAGTATCTGTCAGCTGTTAAATTGAACTCCACAATTAGAGAATAGCAGTTTAGCTCAACCAGTGACCAAGCAATGCTTCATGTTGTTCAGTGTGTGTGTAAAAGGAGCATTAGCGATTACAGAAAACATCATCAGCTCAAAGTGGAGGAAGAATATTTGGTGCCATATTTTTGACTGGTATAGTCGCTGTATGAAGAATATCTGGCTGTAATATGTCACAGTTTACTTTATTTTGCTCTCCTCACTCACAGAAGTGAAATGCACACACTAGTAAAGAAATATCAAACGTAATATTTGGTGTCTGAATCATTTTTAGTTCTGATAATTTGAGTGTATATATTTTTTAATTATTTCGATTTTGCAGTGACTAATGCAGTGTTTCCGTTCTCCATTTCTATTAGTCAACTGTATGCAAACAACAAAGAAGGCGGAGTTTCCAGCTGTCAATCACACCTCCTCCTCGGGTTCATTCATCTCGCTCTCGTTTCCAGACTGTTCCTCAGTCTCTGCTCCTCCCTCGTCTTCATCATCATCATCATCCTCATCCAGAGGCTCGTTCTCATCCATCGCACTGGAGGAGCGGCCATCTTTCTCCAGGCCTGGACACAGGTCAAGTCAGCTTTATTTATATAGCGCTTTACACAGAGTGTTTCGAAGCAGCTTTACAGGAAAATAATGCAACAAAGTTTGTGTCCAGTAGAAATAGCATCACAGTCCAGCTTATATATATATATATATATATATATATACACACACACACACACACACACACACACACACACACATTACACATATATATATATAGGCCGCTCTGGAAAAAACGTGATGCCATCGTCCAGCTCAGTTCAGTTCTCATACAATGGTGTCAATGCAGGAGGTCAATAATATTGTACCCAGAATGAAATGTACCCAAACTAAGGGTAAAACTCACTAAAAACTTACTAAACTAGGAGACAGACACACAGGAATGTTGTTACTGACCAAACCAGACCGAAACAGCAGCAAAAATAAACCGGCACTACAGAATTGCTGGTTTAAAACCAGACAGACAACACACACACACACACACACACACACACACACAACAGCATTCCTGAAGAGCTATTCCGGGTCTGTGCTGCTTTAACACTGATACTATTACACTCTCTGCAGGAATGTGTGTCTTTCTCTCGGCACATGTCAGGAATGAAGGCATAATGACTGAACGCATGAAACAAACCATTGTGTCGTTGCGAGGAATGCTGCTCGACAGGGAAAGATGAGCGGAACAACTAGAAAAACAACTACACACACACACTAGGGCTGGGCGGTCTGACCACATGTGGGCGTTTCCTCAACTAAACACACACACCGTCACTGGATCATTTCACTGCTCTACTGCAGTTGACAAATATAAATAAAATGGTATTTATGCTAACACTATGTCATCATGTCTTCAATGTGTCTCATCTGATCAGAATGTCTGTTAACAATAATATTAGTTGTGAACCTAATGTGAAGCACACGCACACACTCACCTGGTTTACTATCTTTGTGAGGACTCGCCATAGAGGTAATGGTTTTTATACTGTACACACTGTATATTCTGTCTCCTTACACTAACCCTACCCCTAAACCTACGCATCACACACACACACACACACTCTTAGTAGTGTCCCACTCAAAGTAAATATGATCAGTATTAGATCATCTGAGACACACACACACGAGTGTTTTACCCAGTTTGACGAGGAACTCTCTCTCCAGCAGCGTGACGTGAGCACAGGCCTCCTCCAGAGACGAGCACAGCTTCATCTTGGGCCGCAGGAGCTCCAGTGTGTCTGTGATCATGTATTCGATGTCGATGGGGAACGGCTGGTCTTTAGTCCACACATCAACACTCTTCTTCCACCAGATGTACCTCTACAACACACACGACACGAACATGTTTCACTGCACTGAACCTCACATCTGCAGTTACCATATATTCCTGTTTCTGAAAGAGTCTCTTCTGCATTTATTTGATCAAAACAGTAAAAACAGTGAAATATGATTCCAATGTATGTGAATATACAGTAAAGTGTAGTTTATTCCTGAATTTATCATCATTACTCCAGTCTTCAGTGTCACATGATCCTTCACAAATCACTCTAATATGAGGATCTGATGCTCAAGAAACTTATAATAAATATTTAATACAGAGCAGTTTTATTAATATTTTGAATTAGGTTTTATTTTTTGTTTAGTTTTAAGCCATTTCTATTAGTTTTCTGTTTTGGAAATTATTCATTTCCACTTCGACTTAAAAATGTAACTAAAGGTTATTTAGAAATAAAGAAATTTTAATTCAGCTCAACACACCAAACATTTACGACTTCAATCTATCGACAGCCCAAGTTCGAGCACAAATCGAGAGTCGTCAGTCTGTGATTGGCTGTTTCCGAGGGAAAAGCTGACCTTGAAGTAAATGAGGAAGCAGTCGAGCTTCTTCTTGCTGGACCCGCGGTCGAAGTATTGCCCACAGGTGTCCAGGAGGGTGCAGACCATGCGGATGCGGAACAGGTGTTCGGGCGGGTCCAGTGGACTCGGAGAACCGTCCGTGTTCACGCCGAACGAGATGAAGGAGAAGAGCGTGCGGAAGATGACGGCGGACTCCACCATACGATAGTTGTAAAGCTCCCCCAGAAACTTGGCGCTGCTGATCCTCCGCTGGTTGAACTTGGGCTGGTTCACCTGAGAGTGAAACACACATCAACACAAACGTCTCACGTTCACAGTCAGCTAGCATGACCTAACATGACTAACAGTGAGGACTTTTCTTGCTAAGGTTCATTAGTTACTGTATTTACCAACAAAGAGCTATCCATTTGTTACATTATTGATTGATCTGTGTTAATGTTAGTCGGTTCCCGATGCATTAACTAATGTTGCCGCATGCAACCTTTCATTTTAATTATGTATTAGTAAACTAAGATTAATAAAAGCTGTAGAAGTAGTGTTCATTCTAAGTTCACTTTAACTACCTTATTGAACTTTATTGTAAAGTGTCAGCTTTTTCTCATCAGGAAACACTGATTTTCTACCTTTCTATAGAGAAAAAAGCACATCTAAAGCTGCAGAACAGAAGCAAACGGATCGCTGCAATTCACAGACACAACTGGATCCATTTGCAGTGATTATTTAGTGGCAATCTGCTGAATTTAGGGGTGAAATCATACCCAATATGTTGTATAGTTATTCATTTTATTGACAACTCATCAATTAAATATTTGCCGTTGTATATTCTGCATAACTGGATATATTTAAATAAACACTGACAAAAAACTCTACAAGTTTTAAGGCTGGATGATATGATGATATATTAGGGCTGTCAAACGATTAATCGCATCCAAAATAAAAGTTTGTGTTTCCATAATATATGTGGGTGCACGGTGTATAATTATTTTATATATATAAATACACACACACATGCTTGTATATATTTAAGAAATATTTTCATGTATATACTGTATATAGATTTATATATAATTTATATTATATATAAATATAAATATTTTATATATAAATAAAAAAAATTTTCTTAAATATACAAGCATGTGTGTGTACATATATATACAAAATAATTATACACAGTGCACCCACATATATTATGGAAACACAAACTTTTATTTTGGATGCGATTAATCGCGATTAATTGTTTGACAGCCCTATGATATATATAACATTGTTATGAGTGATCACATGGATTTAGACCTACTTATATTGTATTTATATTAAGCATTCACAGGCCAATTTGCTTTATGGATTTCTCCAGCGTCGAAATCCGGCTCATATAAACGTCAAGAAACATGATTTCTGGCTGTGTGTCAATATCCACGGATCACTGGACCTTTGGTCAGTTTTACTGGTGTTTCCCGTGTTAAATCCAGTCACTCCGCAGCTCTTCTGCCACTCGGTGTGTTCCTGACGTCAGTGCATAACCTCTAGCGTTTAGGCAGAGCCATGTTTTAATGAAAGCCAGCAGTGACGTTCTCCTTTCACTAATGTTCACCAATGTTCCTGATCATTATTTTTGTTTCAGATACTTTCTGATATCAACAAGCGTGTTCACTCACTCCTCGTTAACTCAATTACAACTCATTATTACTTCATTACCTTACTTCTAGTCAAGTCACATGCATTTATATAGCGCATTATATAATGTACAGTCATAAACATTCAAAATTCTTCAGTTGTGAATCAAATTGAATTTCAGCTCTAAAATAACAATGGTGTCATTATTCAGTTCAGGTTAGTTTCATGTTGATTATTCTAATTGTACAGTCGTTCTGTAGTAATTTCTAAAGTTAGTAACACATTATTTGACTCCATGCATTAGTCTGTGAATAAATTATAATTACTGAAAGAAAACACATGCTGCTTATTTGTAAACAACAAGTTATTTCAAAAACATTATTAGGAACACTTTACATTAGTTTGCATGATCTAAGAATGAAAAATACTTTAATGTTGGAATTTAATGATGATTTCAACATTCACTAATATATTATAAAATCAAAAGTTGTATCTATCAACATCACACACTTCTCACACACACACACACCTCCATGCCCAGACGTATGTCCTCCAGCACGCCGTCCACCACATGAATGCCCACGTCCTCCTGATACGCCACGAGTCCGGCCAGCAGGTTTGCCACGCAGTGGATGCTGTTGTACTTGACGTTCCAGATGTTGACCATACAACAGATCAGGTAACTCTTCACATCAGGGTCTTGCCAGGGCAACTTCCTCATCTGCCTCAACACCTGCACACACACACACACACACACACACACAGGCAGCCTCTTAACTAACGTGTAAAACGTAAAGGCCTATTTACATCATGCAAATGGGTAATAACTATCAGAAGCAAAAAGCTAAATGCACTACTTCTGTATACGCCTTGTTTTTGTGTCTTTGATTAAATAAATCAGTTTGTTACATTTTTTAATGCATTGTTGCCTTTAAAACCTTGTTACAGCTCATTATATATATTAGGGATGGGGAACGATTAATCGCATCCAAAATAAAAGTTTGTGTTTATATAATATTTGTGTGTGTAGTGTGTATAATTAATTTGTATATACAAATACACACACATGAATGTATATATTTAAGAAATATTTGCATGTATATACTTTATATATATTTATACATAATTAATATTATATATAAATATTTGATATATTAATTATACATTTTTCTTAAATATATATACATGCATGTGTGGGTATTTATATATACAAATTAATTATGCACACCACACACACATATATTATGTAAACACAAACTTTTATTTTGGATGTGATTAATCGCGATTAATCGTTGCCCATATATTATGTAAACTCAAAACATACTCAACAGAGTTACTCAACTGCGTAAGTCAAGATATATATATATATATATATATATATATATACAAGATATATATATATATACAAACACACACTCGAGGTTGCTTTACAAAGGTTTTAGTATTATTATTGTAACCGTACCAAGTATTTCTATAAAAGCAAGCACTACCGGGTAGCACATTAAAAAAAAATTTTCTTTAGAAAGCACA